TTTTACTTGTAGCTACCCTTTTCTTTCTATTAGGGATATGTTTACATGTAATATTTAAAAATTTTCTACATCTGATCAGTGTCCCCAGATAACTCAGCTGCCCAATTCACAACAGAATACTCTTGTCTTATCCCTTCAAAATTTACTTTTTTGAAATTTGTAACCAAAATATCATTATTCCTTATCTCCATATGCAACAAAACACTGAACCTAATAGAGCAATAATCACTTGCACCTAGATGTTCCCCAATTTCTACCCTCTCAATCATTTCTGTATTTGAAGTTAACAATAAGTTTAAAATAGCATTGTTTCTAGTTGGTTCCTAGACTAACTGGTGAAGAAAGCCATCCTGAACAGTTTCCAAAAACCTTTCTCCCTCATGGTTTGATTCTAGAATTTCCCAATCTATGTGAGTGAAATTAAAATCACCCATAATTATGACTTCACTAACAGCTGAAATGTAAAGTTTCTCACTAATTTCATCAGTATCATTTGGTGGTCTGTGACAAATTCCCACTAAAAGCCCTTTCCCTTTTATACACTAATAGAAACCCAAATGGATCCAATCTCTTTGCTATTATCTTTGATATCCTCAACTTCAACAAGATGTAACTCACATTTTACACTCCTCCTCCCATCTATAATACCCTATCCCTATTAAATAGCCTGTAACTCTGTATTTAAAAATGAATTCTGTCATAAAAATCATCTGTTTAACCATGTTTCAATTATTCCCATTATATCAAAATCCTCCATTCCTACCAGAGCTCTAAATTAATCAGTTTTATTTCTTATACTTCTAGCATTACATTAGTAAAAATTAAGCCTATCCTTTTCTCTGCCTCTTATTCTTTTTGCATTCAGTTTTTCCTGGCCCTCACCACAGTCTAGTCCTAGTTTAAAACTTCCCTTACAGCTGAGTTAATAGCATTAGCAAACAAGCCAGCCTCTACTCTATTTAAATGTAAACTATCCATGGCAAAAACTCCCTTCTCCCACTGAACTGATCCCACAAGTCGACCCAGCCAATCTACTCATCCTTACATACTAACCTAAGCCTAACATTTAGCCCTAATGACCTACTTATAAATTAATCCGCACAGTTAATTCTAGGCAGTATCCCTGACAAAATTAAGTTATGGCCATATTATTTAAGTGCCTTTATCAACTCCTTATACTTATTAATTAGCTCCTCTGACCTACCTTTCCCTACACCATTAACCCCTACATACACTACAAAAACTTCATCTCTGCTTTGTTATATCTCTTGCTCTATCAGTTATATCCTCCACCTGTGGCCCTGGGTAGCATAATCTGATTCTTTTCTCCCTATTTACCCCACAGACTTTTCTATCCACATGCCTTATCAAGGAATCACCTATAACTATAACCTGGGATGTTACTAATAAAAATAGTGTTGCAATAATTATGGGAGAGTAAATTTGTGAGCGCACACAGCTTTGAGATTATATGGAGTCAAACAGTGAGAGAGAGAGAAATATCTTGAAGCGATTCAGGATGGTTTTCTATGACAACTGGTCAGAGAGCCAGCCAGAAGGAATGCCTTTTTAGATTTATTGTAAACCACAAATAAGGACATGGCTGCAAAATTTCATGTGGGGATAATTTGGGAAAAGTGATTGATGGCAGTTGCTACTATTTCTTAGAAATTGCACCCGTTTCAGCTTATAAGAAGGTGAATAACCTGCTAGAGGGCATTTTTTGTGTAATTCATTTGATAAGTTCCCTGGATATCCAATATTTTGCCATAAAAATCCAGTATAAATGCAATTCAAGTTATTGAAACTTGTATGTGCATTTAGGTAAACAATAAAACTTTTTTTTTCACATGAAAAAAGAGTGCATAAGCAGCATGACCCTTGAAAAGGGGTGCATTATATTTGGAAAGGGGTTGCTAGACCCTTGTCAGATCAGTGCCCAGTTGCCAGTCATGACAATCCATTAATGTTTACAAATGGATCCTAAGCCAAAAAAGGTCGAGAACCACTGATCTAAATAATTCAGATAATTTCCAATATTTCACTTAGAATGCTCAGAATTAAAAATATTGCTTCCGTCCTCTTTTTGTAACAACAGAAGGTGACATTTAAAATTGGATGGTTTGCCTAAAGATATGGCATATTACTTTGATTTTGTGCTTGTGTTTAAGAAGGAATGGCAACCTCATTGGACTGAATGACATTCCATTACCTTGCTTTTTTCTGATGTTTTAGTTAACAGCACCTGTCTAAACAAAATATATTGAAAAATTTCCACAAAATCTCCAACATATTATTTAACATGACACACTAGTTAAATTTAAGCAATACTTGTATCCTAAAACATTGCAGACATAGTTACATCATACATGTATTTAGCTTTTGTTATGTTGCAGTATCATCTTCAGTTTGTCCTGATGCTTGGCTCACATTTCTCAAGATGTCACTACCAGGAGTTTTCCTAGATTTTATGAGTCCCCATGAATACAATAAAACTTTTACCTATTCATTCCCACACAACATAATTTTTATCCTTGCCATAACTTCATAAGGCAATAAATATTTAATTGAGATTTGCAACAAACTTCTGTCTTTTCATGGACTGGATTCATATATATTTCAAATTCAAGTTAAACTATCAAATAATGACTAAGTCAACCAATTAATAAAACTCAACGCAGTAACACTAACAAAATCTTTATAAATGCATTTAATTTTATTCATTAATGTGAAAATTGGCTGAAATATTACAAAACATTACTTCGAAACTTTAAACACCGACTCATTCAACTGTGTAAAAATTAAAAACAGTTCTGATACCAACACATTCTGCGTTAGTTGTAATAATACTATAAAACTAAAAGTGGCATCTATTTATCTTTTTTTTAATACTTGTTCGTTTTGGTTACTTTTATAAATTATTCATATATAATTATCGTAAACGGATTTTTTATTTAACTTTTAGTTTTATTAGTTTTTTTAAGTTTCAAACTGTTTCCTACTATAGTATAAATGTAATACTAATAATAAGCCTAAAAAAAGACCCAATTTCAAAACTTCAATCGTGCTATGCTAAATTTAACTACATAAGGAATTCCATATTTTAATTGTGAATTTCAACCATGAACGTAGGCCTACCTTATTTTTCAGTTTCAGTGACTTGGGACAATTTTTCTCGTTCGGTCTAAACCCAACCTAATGGGTGCGACTTAGTTAGTTTCTCATTCCCGGCCCTAAACGCCCTCTGTCAATAAAAATTCCAAAAAGGAAAACGTGAAATACTTTTTGAATCATGTAGCTTTACACGCAGATGTGTATATGTGTATATTTTTTTTTGACAAAAAAAGTCCACCTAAGCGTAAAAGTAATACAATATGAAGACAAAAGACCTAAATAACTTTTATGTGCATTTGCAAGATAGCATTATCGCAACTTCAGAGCTGCTTATGAGCCTTTAACCACTGAAATACCGACCCCGTATAACCCCATCAACTTTTTAAATAACACATTTATCTAAAGCGTTTACACAACATATTGTTTGTAAGTCTGTGGTCTTTTCAGATAGCACTGATTTCCACTAATAGTGGCAAGATCTGTCAGCTGAATAACGAAACCTTCTTTAATTCTGTATTCTCTGACTAATTGAGTTGGAGAGAAATAAAAAGAAACTAAACACAACTGTATATCATAATAAACAATCTTTATTCAAACAAACACAGTGAAAATGTACTTTACTTTCAAAAATGGGTAATTAACTTTACTAGAGAGTTAGCCCCCAGTGGCACAGCGATATGTCTGCAGTCTCACAACGCTAGATTCCGGGTTTTGATACCTGTGGTGGGCAGAGCACAGATAGCTCATTGTGTAGCTTTGTGGTTAATTACAAACCATTCTAGCGGTGTGAGTCCGCAGACATACCGCTCTGCCACTGGGGAGGGGGGGGGGGCATATAGAAGTGACAGAACACGATTTGAAAATGTTACTATGGTTAGTAATTATTACGTAACCAATACATAAAAAACACATATTTCAGAAATAGTAGTTGTAAATTGTAATTAAAATCTACATTTGAAAATGTTACAATAAAAAATTAATTTGCTCTCACCTTGAACTTTTGGATTACAAATGGACTCTATTTCCTCTTCTCCAAAGCCTGGATTTACCTCTGCTGGCCACTCATTGAATTCTAAGGTACGTAGCTCAGAAATTATGTTTGGAATGGAATTAGAAGTCTCTAGCTGTGACCCAGTTGGTTCATGAGACATAGTTGGTATGAATAACCGTTGTTTCATATTGTTTATGATACTGATTGATTGAAAAAAATCATATTGTTCTCTGTCAATGTTATTAATGAAACTTGATTTCCTTAATGGCATTCGGTGCTTCTAATCTAAGGCCTTTTTACCCTTAAGTTCCTTCATTGCTTCTAAAAACAGTATGTTGCGACAAATTAACTTGTCTGCATAAACTATAGTAATATTCCTTTTCTGTATAGCTTCTAAACTGCTTAACAAGAAGGCTAAGTTAGAAATATTAGTTAAACCAAAATGGGTCGTATTTATATTACTGGAAAGTAAGCATTTATTGGTTACTGTATAAGTGTGGTTAAGTAGGAAACAGGATTTTCATAAGCTCTTATACACTTTTACACCTATAGCGCAAAATCCCGGGAGGTACCTAACATTCAAATACCTAACAAGTTTATTGGATCAGACTTTGTATACAGCCAAATTGTAAATATTTTCTCTCACATTTATATAGTACATAAGACAATGCTTATTGCAATTACTGTACTACAAACAAGCCAATAAAATCTACCCAACTGCCGGTAAAAGTCTAATGCCTAGAGTGGCGATTCATTGCTTTGTTTTCGGAAAGTTTCTACTTCAGCTGCTAACAGTAAAATAAACATAAGAAGTGTGAAAATATTGGAAATAGAAATTCTCAGGAGATTTACTTTGGAATTTCGCGGTCCATACGCAAAAAGCCCGACAGTAATAATCATTTTGTTTCGTCGAGTTTCTAAGTCAGTTGCTAACAATATAGTAACTACAAAAAAAAATAAATGTGAAAAGGTCAGAAGTATAAGCTCTGGCCATAAGTGATGTTTTTTAGATGGTTGCCTCTATATATGTATATCTCAGCCGATATACTGTCTAGCCCAGAGACTTTTCCTTGTGATGTTTGATGTATCCCTGTAGTCACTTTTTCCTGTGTTAGTTGGTGCTGTCAAATCCTTTTTGATCTCATGCTCAAGCAAGTTATTCAGGGCTTCTTTGGACATTGCACATGATTGATTTAGAACTTTACTGAAGTGTTCAGCCCAGCGTTTAAGAATATCATGCTTGTTTGTGAACAGTACTTTGTTGTTTGCTGTACGTACTAGAAGTGCCATTTCCTTTTGGGCCATATATTTACAATGTAACCATTCTAAGAGTCTCTTATACTTGTGTGATTCAGCAGCCCATTGAAGTTCTGCTTTCATTTCCCACCATTGTGTTTCCGTTTTCTGTAGTCAGGACTGTACAAGTTGTTTGAGACTATTGTAATAAACTACAAGAAAAAAGAAAGAAAGATGTAGGGATATACGTATTCATGAATAGAAACCCTTTAACAAGGATTATTTAGTACATTTTATAAGATAAGATTATATACATTATTTCACAATCCACACGTTAAGAAATATGAGGTGTGTGCTCTCGCCTTATCTTGCATTAATCCCATCCAGAGACGTTCCACAGAATCTGTGAATATTATATTAGCGACAATGATTTTCTTAATGACCTCCATGGCTCTTGGCAGGGCTTTCCAATTCTGGGCCAAATCTACTCTTAATTCACTGGAACTCTTCCTCTAATCTTGATGAAGGCTTTGGACATCTCCATAGCTGAACAACTTTAGGGATACATAAGGTCCACTCTATGTATGGTCCACTTAGTTGCTTGTTTCTGACAATTCCTCTCGTATACAAGGATTCAGTCTAATGATGTCTTATTGATTGATCACTGTAAATGGTATGGTAGGAAACTCTATCCTTGGTTGTTTTGTGGATTATAGGACTTCTTAGGTGGTAGTTCCTTGTGGCAACCAACAATAAGACACTTCTGGTTTACCCCTAAAACCCTTGCCACAATTGGAATGGTTGTTGCTAGTTTGATTTTCTGGTTTCAACTTGGGGAGACTTCCTCTGCATTCAGTTGAACCTCGGAAAGACCATAGCTCCAGGAAGGTCTTTTTAGGTTTTGGTATGTGGTGATCCCGAATAGAGATATGTACACACTTAGTGTCTGTTTCGTTTTACCATGGCACATTCTCCAATGAGGAAACTTACACTGGTTATTTTGCTGCCTCCTTCTCTTTTATGGGAGTTGCCTGTGGATTGGTGACCTGAAGTTGATCCACTTGTAGGTTAGGCTCAACTGAAATACCAGGCATCAATCATATTGGACCTGCAATGAAATATTTCACAGTTGGTGGAATGAGGTAGTCAGATTGAGGAGCAGTCATTGGGAGCTGCTCAGTCCCTGGAGACTTGAGGGCTAGCCCATTGATGGATATGACAAGATCCATAGCATCTGATGCATCGCCTAGTAATTCATTTTAATTCATTGGTTTCACCAATCCGAGAGATATTTTGGCTCCAGGTGTCTTGGGGATGGTTCTAAGGTCCATATCCTCAGTGTTTCCCAGCAAGAAGTCTTCAGTGTAATGGCATCCATACTGTTTTTCCATCTTGCAGTGTTTCAGGTTACCTTTAAGATACGGGCACACAAATAAAGTACAACTGGTTAGTTGATAAATAATTAATAAGAAAGGTCAAGGATTTGATCTTAAATAGCAAAAGTCTGGATTGGAAATATACACTGAGACAAAAACCTAATTGGTCAGAAGTTCAGCTAGGTGTGTAAGTTGTAAAATGCTGTAAATGTCCAGTTACAAATATGTCCTGTTCTAAGACTACATTCCAGACACTGCCACCTTGATTAAGCAACATTTTTATAGGCTTTGCTTGTTTTCATGCCATGTATGATCTGTATATCATGTATACATCTAAACAGCTCAGATCATCAGGCTTCATTAGTTGTTCTACCCACTGCTAATGTTCATGCGGCAACAACTAACATAATTTATCCTCCAACTTAGTTTGACAAAAAGAGGGCTTGATCATTACTTTAAAATGCCTCCACAGTTGAAAGGGCGAGCATTTTCGATTCAAGTCGAGAACTCTAACCACTAGGTCATGCCAAGTGTTCTGTGTTCCAGTAGGAAAAAAACAGGAGGTCGAGAAACTGGTTTCTATACACATGAACTGACGTCGTAGGTTAGCAGACACTAACCTTTAATTTCTGACAATGAACATTAGTTAATACTCTGTACTAAATACAACTTTATTACTGTCTAAGTACAATTGCAAAGTTTACTTGTTCAGGTGATACATTCCACCCCCAGCAGCACACTCACAGTCTGCATTTTCATACATATTTGACTGTACCTTGTATTGAAACAATGTTAAGAAAATATTCGCTGAACTGTTTGTTTATAAAACACTTCAACCTGCATGACTAAAACTATTTTATCACAACCAAATAAAACAATGGGTGAATCAAGTTCACATTTGATATGATAACCAAAGTACTTTCCGTGAATTTCATCTACTATTGATAATTTCATTTATTTATAAATGTTTGGACTTGGTCCAACCAAAATATTTTGCACTACTCTTAAAGAAAGACAAAAGGTAAACCTGTGTTTCTCTGAGACATAGTATGAGTTATCAAATTACTCTTGTACTTCAATGAGAATTCATTAACTGTTGAATATTTCAATGTGAAAAGTTAACCACTCTCTTACTGGCATTAATGAAACTAAGTGCACTGTATATTTCAATAATGCCTATTACGTCAGTACCCATAATTAAGTCTTCATGTTCAGATGAAATCCTTTATTTCCATTTACATGCTGCTTAACACTTGTTTCTTTGTACAATTGTTCCATTTATGTTTTACAACCCTTTGAATGATTTTATGTAATGTTCATACACCTGTATGAAACTAAGCATATATTTACTTATGCAAATATATTTCTGCACACATATATAACCATTGTACATTCTCATGTACACCATTAGTTTATAAAAATACATATCTGGTTCATAAACAAATTACTTCAGTAGCTATCTTAGATTACCTTCTACAAGTTATGTTTCAATAAATGTAGTTTGGAATGTGCTGCCTTTTTTTTCAGCCATCAAACTC